CTCAGCCTTCCAAGTAGCCAGAACTACAGGCACATGCTACCACACCTGGCTAATTTTTGATTTATTGTAGAGATGAGGTCTTACCAAGTTGCCCAGGCGAGTCTCAAACCCCCGGGCTCAGGCAATCCACTCATCTCGGCCTCCCAAAGCGCTGAGATTACAGGCTGAGCCACCAAACCTGGCCTTGAAGTACTTATTATGTGTTAGACAGATTTTAAAATGAGACCCAGTTTCTTCCCTCAAAGAACATAGCGTGTGGTTGGAGAGGTAAGACATGAACCACATGTACCACACCATAGATTGAAGTAAATGTCAGTGAGGTGTAAACAGCAGGCTATGACCAAAAAAAAGGGATTTGTCTCAGCTAGGAGGTTGGGAAAAGTACAGTCTTGGGCTATTGGTACTTCAGCTAGGTGTGTTTTGAGGGAACAGGGAGTCTGAAGGAAAGAACAAACAAAGACCAGGTGTCACAGGTCCTCACTGTGACCCCTTCAGCTTGTATTGAGGTTGTTGACCTTTTGGATGGCCATGAGGATGAGTGAGCTCTTGATTCAGTCAGCTGCCCTCATGAGTAATTACTGATGTGCCCATATTACTCCTTGGTACTGGGTCAGGTCTCTTTTTTTCTATCTGCAGTGCCTAGCACCATGCTAGACATAGTGGGTGCTCAGTAAATGAGTAAAGTACATACGCCCACTGTGTTTTGGTTTTTTTTTGAGTTGGAGTCTCATTCTGTCACCCAGGCTAGAGTACAGTGGCACACTCACAGCCACCACAGCTTCAACCTGCCGAGCGCAGGCGGTCCTTCCACCTTAGCCTTCTAAGTAGCTTACAGGTGCACACTACCATGCTTGGCTTATTTTTTGATTTATTGTAGAGATGAGGTCTTGTCAAGTTGTCCAAGCCTGGTCTTGAACCCCTGAGCTCAGGCATTCCTGTTACCTCAACCTCCCAAAGTGCTGGGATTACAGGCTTGAGCCACTGTGCCTGGCCTCCCACTGTTTTTGTTTGTTTGTTTTTTGAAAGCAGGGTTTATTGAGAGGACAGAAAAGCTCCCAGAGTGGGAAGAAACCCAAGGGGAGATGCCCTGTATTTTTTTTAAGTTCTATTGACAGTCTAGCTGCTGAGATATAAATTCCTGACAAAAGTAGGAGGAAAAACAAATAATCTGAGGTTTTTTTTATTCAAATCTGGCTTACTCACTAGGTAATCTTGGAGAAGGTGATGAATATGGGGGTGAATTGATGTTTTATTTATTTATTTATTTGAGTCAGTGTCTTACTCTGTCACCCAGGCTGGAGTGCAGTGGGATGGTCACGGTCACCACAGCCAAGACTTGCTGGGCTTAGGTGATCCTTCCACCTCAGCCTTCTAAGTAGTGGGAAGCACAGCCATGCGCCACCACACCTGACTAATTTTTTGATTTATTGTAGAGACGAGGTCTCGCCATGTTGCCCAGGCTGTTCTCGAACCCGTGAGCTTAGGCAATCCTCTTGACTCCGCTTCCCAAATGCACCAGGCATTTTGGTTCTTTTAAAGCTGCCTCCTACCAGACAGGTAAGCAACATCAATATAAATATAAACCAGGCTCAGTGGCTCACGCCTGTAATCCCAGCACTTTGGGAGGCAGAGGCAAGAGGAGTGCCTGAGCTCCACGGGTTCAAAACCAGCCTGGGCAACATGACAAGACCTCTTCTCTACAATAAAAAAAAAAATTTAAAATTGCTGGGCGTGGTGGTTCAACCCTGTAATCCCAGCACTTTGGGATGCCAAAGGTGAGAGGATTGCCTGAGCACAAGGGTTCAAGACCAGCCTGGGCAACTTGGTGAGACCTGTCTCTACAGTAAATCCAAAAATTAGCTGGGCGTGGTAGCAAGCACCTGTAGTTCTAGCAACTTGGAAGACTGAGGCGGAAGGATTGCCTGAGCCCAGCAGGTCGAGGCTGTGGTGGCCATGAGTGTACCACTGCACTCCAACCTGGGTGACAGAGTGAGATTCCAACTCAAAAAAACAAAAAATAAATAAGCAAGCCTGGCATGATGGCACGCACCTATAGTTCCAGCTACTTGGCAGGCTGACATAGAAGGATCGCCTAAACCCAGCAGGTTGAGCCTGCGGTTGGCCGTGAGCATGCCCCTACACTCCATCCAGCCTGAGTGACAGAGTGAGACTCCAACTCAAAAAAAAAATTTAAATATAAATATGTAGGCTTTCAGATTTTCTAAGTTTTTTTTTATTTTTTTCTTTTCAAGGGTTATCTCTTTCATACTGTCGCTGGGAAACATCAGGATTTAAAATATATCTCTCCAGAAATTGTAAGTCATCCTTTTGGAACCTAGTGCACATGGGGTATTTGGATCTAGTTGTTCCTGACAGTCTGTTGATTTTGCCTTGACTTTCTCTCCACAGATGGCATCTGTTTTGAATGGCAAGTTTGCCAACCTCATTAAAGAGTTTGTTGTCATTGACTGCCGATACCCATATGAATATGAGGGAGGCCACATCAAGGTATGGATTTCTGTGACTTGCTGTCTTGGGAGGCATAGAAAGAGCCCTAGACAAGGTCTGTGTGGTTTGGGGGGAGGGGGAGATGGTGACACCTGACTACTTAGCTCATATGCTAATTGTAAGAATTTTAATACATGTGGTGTGGAAGGCATTTGATCCCTGGTCCTCTGAAGGAAGTAGTATTCCCTTGTCCACACTACTCTGTACCAATTTGTACTGTAGATACTCTCCCTGTTCTGTCCCTCACACGATCATCAATAGTACTTCTACATGCTACCCACTGATTTTTAAGCTATTCAGGGAGGCCAGAAACAGTTTCATAGGATTTAAGAGGCTTGGGTACATATGTATGAATATTCGGGGCTCCTGACTGGAGAAGTCAGTCTCTGGCAACATGTCCCAATGTCTGTGCCAGGGTTAGCAATGCCCTCTAAGGTGATTGTTTGATTAAGCTGCCTGGTGGAGCTTAATCAGGACACACATTCCCAGGAAGAGAGGAACTGGTTTTGCCATTTTAATATTTTACCCAATAGTGCTTAAATATGGTAAGGAGGTAATTTAAGTATGATTCTACTGTTTACCACTGTCTTATGGCTTTTGAAAATCCTCAAGTTTAGCTGGGTGCAGTTGTTCACACCCATAATCTCAGTACTTTGGGAGGCAGAAGCGAGAGGATTGCCTGAGCCCATGGGTTTGAGACCAGCCTGAGCAATATGGCAAGAACTAGCCTCTACAGTAAATCAAAAAATTAGCCGGGCATGGTGCCGCATGCCTGTGGTTCCAGTTACTTGGAAGGCTGAGATGGAAGGATTGTCTGAACCCAGCAGATCGAGGCTGCAGTGACCAAGAGCATGCCATGGCACTCCAGCCTGGGCGACAGAGTGAGACTCTGACTCCAAAAAAAAAAAAAGTGCTTAAATATGGTAAGGAGGTAATTTAAGTATGATGCTTCTGTTTAACACTTTTGAAAATCCACCATGTGAAGATGGAGACAGACTGGAGTTATAGAGCAGTAAGCCAAGAAATGCCCAGGATTGCCAGTAGCAATCAAAAGCTAGAATAGAGAGTAGGGTCCTGACAATGTCTCGATTTTTTTATTTCTAGCTTCTAAAACTGTGAATGTTGTAAGCTATGCAGTTTGTGGTAGTATTCTACAGCAATGCTAGGAAACTAACACATTCCTCTTGACTAAACATTTAATGTATTTTATAATGTTCTTAATATAAACTAGTGTGCTGTACAATATTGAATTTCTTTTCTTTTTTTTTTTGGAGTTGGAGTCTCACTCTGTCACCCAGACTGAAGTGCAGTGGCCGCTCCCGGCCACCGCAGCCTCGACCTGCTGGGCTCCGGCGATCCTTCCGCCGCCTCAGCCTTCCAAGTAGCTGGAACTACAGGCACGCGCTACCACACCTGGCTAATTTTTTATTTATTGTAGAGATGAGGTCTCGCCAAGTTGCCCAGTCGGGTCTCGAACCCCCGGGTTCAGGCAATCCACTCACCTCAACCTCCCAAAGGCGCAGGATTACAGGCTGAGCCACCGAGCCCAGCTGAATTTCTTTTTAAATTTTATTTATTTAGTCATGTGTTGGCCAATCATGAAAAGTCAGATTTGACTGAAAAAATATGTCCATCATTCTGGTATGTAGCTCTCAGGCTTGATGCACAATTTGGCTGAAAATTTGGGTTAACTCTCTGGGTAAAAAGTTAATTATTTCCTTTTTATTTTTGTGTGATGTGGTCAAATGGTGTATATGGCAACATTTTTGAAAAATAGATGTACAGCAAAAAAAAAAAAACACGTTTAGCTGAGCACGGTGGATCACACCTGTAATCTCAGCACTTTGGGCAGCTGAGATGAGAGGATTGCCTGAGCCCAGGGGTTAGAGACCGGGCTGAGCAACATGGCGAGACCTCTTCTCTAGAATAAAACAAAAAATTAGCCAGGCAGCGTGGTGCATGCCTTTATTTCCAGCTACTTCGAAGATTGAGGTGGAAGGATCACCTGAGCCCAGCATGTCAAGGCTGTGGTGGCCATGAGTGTGCCACTGCACTCCAGCATGGGCAACAGGGTGAGACTTAACTCAAAAAAAAAGAAAATCCTCAAGTTTACAAATACTACTCATAAAGTGCACCATAGTCATATTTGAGTTGCCCATTTAAAGACCCTGTGTGTGTTACTGCATAGTCAATGTGTATAGAGACCTTCATAGCTCCACTGAGATACAAGTATCAGGTGGTCCACTAGACTATTCAGCCAGAAATGCTGAAAATCACAAACCAGTCTTTTGGACTTAAAGAATTGCTCTCGCTGAATTATTACATCAAGTGTGAAATGTGCAGGTGCTAAGGGTCTCTGGTGCCTTCACAGGGTGCAGTGAATTTGCACATGGAAGAAGAGGTTGAAGACTTCTTACTCAAGAAGCCTATTGTTCCTACTGATGGCAAGCGCGTCATCGTTGTTTTCCACTGTGAATTTTCGTCTGAGAGAGGTCCTCGCATGTGAGTGCTGCACAGAACTGGGTTCTGGGGTAGAGGTCCCATGATGCTTTCATGAGGTGTGCATCCTTTGCTCTTGGAGCATATGCTGAAAGCATGTTGACATCCTCTTGCACATCATAAGTCATTTTCATGCCTCAGCTTGTACACATGCCATGTAATTTTGTATGGTTTCGTAAAAGTACAAATTCATGCATAACAGATGTTTTTCCAAATTCTTATAAATTTAACAAGTTGATTAATATTATGAACAGCTTCTTTGAGTCTAATTTATAGGCTTGACCTAACAGTTTTAGTTGCAAAGGATTTTCAGACTTTTCCAGTTCAGCCCTATCTAGAATGCTAGTATTGCCCCTCCAGTATTCCTCCATGGATCCAGCCTCTGCTTCATCGCACTCACTCCTAGTTGGCTCATCAGTCTTGCCTTTATATTGGGTTAAATTCTGGATCTTCCAATTTTCCCCATTGTCTTGAGTTCTACCTGTGGGACTACTATTCTCATGTGATATTCTTCAAGTACAATGTGGGAGTTCTTTAGAGAAACACCAGAAAAGTGTGAAGTTCTCACTCTACAAGGCTTGCTACAATATGATGTTTTAAACACTTGATATTGTTGCCACCTTAGAGGTGAAAAGAAAATGGGCCAGACAGCTGTCCACTAGTCATCTGTGTCCATTCAAAAAGGATTGCAAGCTTGGAATGTGTCAGGTGCTATTGAGTCAAAAATAGAGCAGTACAGTAAAAATAGAGCAGTGGACAGGACCATTAAGAGCCCTGCTGCAAGCCAGGTGCAGTGGCTCATGCCTGTAATCTCAGCACTTTGGGAATTGGAGGTGAGAGGATTACCTTAGCCCATGGGTTGAAGACCAGCCTGGTCAACATGGAGAGACCTCATCTCTACAATAAATAAAAAAATTAGCCGGGCTTGGTGACGCAAACCTGTAGTTCCAGCTGCTTGGAAGACTGAGGTGGAAGGATCTCCTGAGCCCAGCAGATTGAGTCTGCAATGACTGTGAGCATGCCAATGCCCAGTCTACCTGCTAGGCTCCAGCAATCCTTCTGCCTCAGCCTTCCAAGTAACCGGAACTACAGGCGCCTACTACCACGCCCAGCTAATTTTTTATTTATTGTAGAGATGTGGTCTCTCCAAGTTGCCCGGGCTGGTCTCGAACCTGCAGGCTCAGGCAATCCACTTGCCTCAGCCTCCCAAAGTGCTGGGATTATAGGCATGAGCCACCATGCCTGGCCCATTAATTAATTAATTAATTAATTAATTTTTAAAATGTTATTTATCTATTTATTTATTTATTTATGAGTTGGAGTCTCACTCTTTTGCCCAGACTGGAGTGCAGTGGCCGCTCCCGGCCCATTAATTAATTAATTAATCAATTAATTCAATTTTATTTATTTATTTTTGAGTTGGAGTCTCACTCTGTCGCCCAGACTGGAGTGCAGTGGCCACTCCCGGCCACCGCAGCCTCGACCTGCTGGGCTCTGGCGAATCTTCCGCCTCAGCCTTCCAAGTAGCTAGAACTACAGGTGCGCGTTACTACGCCTGGCTAATTTTTTATTTATTGTAGTGATGAGGTCTCGCCAAGTTGCCCAGGCGGGTCTCGAACCCGCGGGCTCAGGCAATCCACTCACCTCAGCCTCCCAAAGGTGCGGGATTACAGGCTGAGCCACTGAGCCTGGCCAATTTATTTTTTTAAATGAGTCAGGTCTCACTCTGTTGCCCAGGCTGGAGTGCAGTGGCACAATCACAGCTCACTGCAGCCTCAACCTCTTGAGGAGCTGGGACTACAGGCATATGCCACCTCCCTGGGCTAATTTTTTTATTTCTGTAGTGATGAGGTCTCACCATGTTGCCTAGGTTGGTCTTGAACTCCTGACTCAAGCAATCATCCACCTCAGCCTCCCAAAGCACTGGCAGTACAGGTTTGAGCCACCACACCCAGCCTCATTTTCTTTTTGCAATGGTATCACTCTCACCCAGAATGCAGTGCAGTGGCACAATTATGATTCACTTCAGCCTCGAACTCCTAGACTCAGAAGATTCCCCCACTTCAGCAATCACATCTGAATAATTTTGGGAGTGTTGTTGAAGAGAAGGGTTCTTTGTTTTGGTAAGAATGGAGTCTTACTGTGTTGCTTAGGCTGGTCTCAAACTCCTGGCCTCCAGGCTGAGGTGGGAGAATTGCTTGAGCCTAGGAGGTCAAGGCTGTGGTAAGCTGTGAGTGTGTCACTGCACTACATCCTGGCCAACAGTGAGACCCTGACTCAAAAAAAAATCTAGAAATACTTAACCCTCACAAAAGATGCTTTTCTTGCATCTTTCTATTCTTTTTTTTTCTTCCTCTTTTTCTTTTTTCTTTTTTTTTTTTTTTTGAGTTGGAGTCTCACTCTGTCGCCCAGACGGAATGCAGCGGCTGCTCCCGGCTACCACAACCTTGACCTGCTGGGCTCCGGCGATCCTTCCACCTCAGCCTTCCAAGTAGCTGGAACTACAGGCGCACGCTTCCACACCCAGCTAATTTTTTTTTTTTTTTTTTTATTGTAGAGATGAGATCTCACCTGCCCAGGCAGGTCTCGAACCCACGGGCTTAGGCAATCCACTCACCTCAGCCTCCCAAAAGCGCAGGATTACAGGCTGAGCCACCGAGCCTGGCTTTATCTTCCTATTCTATAACACCTGATATAAAGGACATTATTAAAATGCTACTTAGATATTTAAACAATGCCCCCCCCACCGTGTATTCTGTGTTCAAAGTCATCAACAGAAACCAGGTAGCCTTTGTATTCCATTCCCCATTTAAGTTCACCATCACTGGCTTTCTGTTAGTTCACTGGGGAAAGGTTTGGGATTGAGGAGTAAGGTCAACTACAGGAAAATGCAAACTACTCACTGCTGACCTGGCTGCTGTCTGTCCCTCGTGACTGGAGCAGCTACCACAGACCCTGAACCACTGAGCTTCAAAGGAAAACCAGCAGATACTTACTCTTGCTTCCTTCATACCAGATCCTTTTCTCGGCAGGTCATGGTGGCTCACACCTGTATTCCCAGAACTTTAGAGGCCGAGACAAAAGGACTGTTTGAACACAGGATTTCAAGACCAACCTGGGTAACATAGTGAGATCTCGTCTCTACAAAAATAAAAAAAATTAGCTGGATGCAGGATCACCTGAGCCCAGGCTTGAGACTGTGGTGAGCTGTGATTGTGTAGCGTAATGCAATCTGGGTGACCTCAACTCCAAAAAAAGTCCTTTTCTAAGTACTGGAGAGAATAGCAATGAGCAAAACAACCCTGCCTTCATAGAACCTACATTTCAGCATGGACAGGAGGCAGACAAATATATGTCATCTGCACCATATGTTATTTTGGGAGGTGCCTCCAAGAAAAATAAGTAGGTGAGAGCTCTAGGCAAGCTGGAGGACCACGGTGTGGCCAGAGTGGAATGGAGTGAGAGAAGGGAAGCAGCTGTATAGTGTAACAAATGGCAGAAGCAGGCTCAACCTGTCGAAAAGCCGCAGGAAGAAAGGATTCCCCTTAGATAGAAGGAAGCAAGTGAGGGGGGCTGGTTGACAAGAATGCTAGGGAAGCTGTTGCCACAGGTGGTGGCAATGCAGATGCTGGGCAGGGATCAGGTGCTAGGACTATAGGAGAAACAAAAGCAGGGAAAGGGCCATCTACCAGCCCTGGATGTGAATACTGCTCACATGGTCTAGAACCCACAACTGAGCACTGATTGTTTCCAAGAATGAATGTAAAGTTGGGAAGATCTGTGTAAGGAGTACTTGCACCAATGCTTTTACTGCATTGTCTTTGTTTCTCTGTATTGGAAGAGCTCACCTTGCTTTGGCCTTTCTTCCCCCCCCCCCTTTTTTTTTTTTTTTTTTTTGAGTTGGAGTCTCACTTGGTCGCCCAGACTGGAGTGCAGTGGCCGCTCCTGGCCACCGCAGCCTTGACCTGCTGGGCTCCGGCGATCCTTCCGCCTCAGCCTTCCAAGTAGCTGGAATTACAGGCATGCGCTACCACGCCCAGCTGATTTTTTGATTTATTGCAGAGATGAGGTCTCGCTGCCCAGGCGGGTCTCAAACCCACGGACTCAGGCAATCCACTCACCTCAGCCTCCCAAAGGCGTGGGATTACAGGCTGAGCCACCGAGCCCGGCTTTTGTTCCCCTTTAATAGGTGTCGGTATGTGAGAGAAAGGGATCGACTTGGTAACGAGTACCCCAAACTCCACTATCCTGAGCTGTATGTCCTGAAGGGGGGATACAAGGAGTTCTTCCTTAAATGTCAGGTAAGACTGAGTCTCTGGAGAACATCCCCTAACCCCATGTACCTGCACCCCACCCCAGACCAGTGGATCTGTCTGGGAATCATGACTGGGTCTTGCCTGGGGTTTAGGGACAAGGTGGGTATCTGCCCAACATAAAGAAGCCCCTGCAGAGCTTGCTGCCCAGGTCTGCATTGCTTTCAGCCTTGCAGCCCTCGGCAGCAAAGAAGCCAGGTTTTGAATGAATGTGAGACAGGCATGCCCTGACCTCATCTTCTCCTGTCCCCTTAGTCTCACTGTGAGCCTCCCAGCTACCGACCTATGCACCATGAGGACTTCAAAGAAGACCTGAAGAAGTTCCGCACCAAGAGCCGGACCTGGGCAGGGGAAAAGAGCAAAAGGGAGATGTATAGTCGCCTGAAGAAGCTCTGAGGGCAACAGGAACAGACAGCAGCAGCCTGAGCTTCCCTCCATCCCCACTTTTCCCTCTTTGCTGCAGAGAAACTCAAGCAAAGGGGCCAGCTACATGATATCTGGAGAAGAGGCCTGGGGCTCCTACTCCTTGAACCTGCCTCTGGGCTCCCAAGGTTGGAGCCCAGGGCATTTTGCTGGCTGTGCCTCTTCTGTCCCTGTAAGTCGTCTTCCTTCCACATCAGTACTATCTGTCAAGGCTACGTGCCACAGCACAGTTCTGAGCACCACGTCAAGCTATTCTGACCCACCGTGGGACACAGCAGCTGGGGCCTCACTGGGCTCTGGCCTTCTCATGAGGGAAGGGGAAGAGGGAGGAGGAATAGAAAGAAGTCACAGACAAGAGTATCGAATATCAAAGACAACCTGGGATGGAAAGGTCTTCACGGGATAATTCAAATCTTTAATTTATTCATTTTCATCAATCACTTTTTTTTAACTCAAAGAGACTTTACTGCTTTATAGGTCATAATACTGCCATTCTAGGTAGGGTTTTATTATCCCAGGGACTACCTCAGCTTTTAATTTCATTTTTTAAAAAGGGGAGGGCGGATATGAGAAAAGACATGACTGTTGCAAATTGTGGAACAGAGAGCTAGACACTCTGTCACCCCCAGGAGGCGCTGCGGTTCTGGGGCTGCTGCTATTTAAAGCCAAGGACTGAGGTGTACTGGTGGGAGTGGGCACCAGGCCCAGGCTTGGCTACACGACATAAGCTAAACCTCCCAGACCTACCTCCAGCTATTGAGACCTATTTGTGAGGAAGTGTATCCCTCTTCCTCATCCCGGTTCCCTGTGATGGCTGGCATTGGAGTCACCATCAGGAAAGCACTTCAGGCAGCTTCCATTGGGCCACCCCAATGCCAATATTGGAATGTAGTAGGTTTCCCAGGGTAGGGGGTGGGAGTGAGTGGGCTCCATGGGGGTGGACCAATCCACTGTGTGTCTTCTATTACTGTGGTACTCAAATAGCATTTATGTTGTTTTAAAAAATAGTCATTTTATTATGAGTCAGAGTATCAAATCAGTGTTGGATGGTCCACCCAAGGATGCAGAGAGGGCCTGGAAGCCCTGAACATTAGGAGAAAGAGAGTGGGTGCTGGCATAGAGATGACTATATAGAATGTTTCTCGGGGGGAGCTTATTGGATTGTGAAGGTAAAACTTTCTGAGTTTATCATGTTTTAATTTGAGGGACAAGGAGTGATCGAATCATCACCAGTTGCCCCCTTATCTAGCCCCATGGCAGTGGAGGTCCCAAAAGAACACCTCATCCAAGGAGCTGGGGCTGACTTGATTCTAGACAGGCCCCTGTTGGAGCATCTGCTCATCCCCACCCTCCAGCACCAGCCTCCTTACCACCGTTGCTCCATTGAGGTGTAACCAGAATTTTCTTATAACAGGAGCCAATCTCCCGTCTTAACCTTGGCTTCTGTTCTGGGGGTGGAAAGGGAATCATTGGTATTGGAGATGACTAATTGCTGTGTTATGGGTTTGAGTTGCATTTGGCTATAAAATAATCTTGTTGGAAAAAAGTATGTGGGGAATAGGGGAAAGGGAGAATGACTTTTCCCTACACTCACATTGGGACAGAGCCCCAATTGGTCTCTGATCTTAGGTATTCTTGGTTGAATGCCTACTGGGGAAGGTGGGATGACCTTGAGTGTACCAGCTTAGCCAGCATTGCTAAACAACTGTTGTAGGCTCTGAAAATAAAAGATCTTAAACCCATGCTTTCTGCCTAGTTCTTGATGAACTTAAGGAGAATTGTGTTTTCCATTAAAGCCAGTATTTGTGGCATCTGTACTTTTTTTTTTTAATTGAAATCTCATTCTGTCACCCGGACTAGAGTCCAGTGGCACAGTCATACCTACTGCATCCTCAATCTGCTGGTCTCAGGCAATCCTTCCACTCCACCTTAGCCTTCCAAGACAGGTGTGCACCACCACGTCCAGCTAATTTTTTACTTGTTGTAGAGATGAGGTCTCACCAAGTTTCCCAGGCTGGTCTTAAACCCATGGGCTTAGGCAGTCCTCTCATTTTGGCCTCCCAAAGTGCTGGGATTATAGGCGTGAACCACCACGCCTGGCCCTATATCTACTTTAAGAGACCAGAGGACTTTTACATGACCTGACTTCGGGAATGACTAGCATGACTTCCAGGTATAACCCTGAGTCAAATGAAAAATTTCATGGTTCAGGTTGATTTGCAAGATGAAATAGGTACATTAAAAGCTTGCCTGGAGCCGGGCTCAGTGGCTCAGCCTGTAATCCCAGTACCTTGGGAGGCCACGGTGAGAGGACTGCCTGAGCCCACAAGTGCAAGACCATTCTGGGGAACTTGAGACTTCATCTCTACAATAAATCAAGAAACTAGCTGGGCATGGTGATGCATGCCTGTAGTTCCTGCTACTTAGAATACAGAAGGATTGCCTGAGCCCAGCAGGTGGAGTCTGTGGTGGCCATGAGCGTGCCACTGCACTCCAGCCTGGACAACAGTGAGACTCCAACTAAAAAAAGTTTGCCTGGACTGCTTTCCTTTGAGAATCTATTTATTTAATGAGTAAGGCATTAATCCAGAGGAGGAACCTTATAGTTAATAGTAGTTTTGTGTTCAGGGGCCAAACGATACCACAGAATAAAGCCACCAGAGAAAAAAGTGTGATGATGGGGCTTATTGGCCAAAGTGGAGCACAAGTCTATTACAAATAAGAAGGATGTCCAGAATAGGAAGGAGCTTGTTTTCCTTTTTATATATGTTTGTCTTGAACTAGTAGTTCAAGTTACTTTAGATTTTCCATAAATACAAGTTCTAAAATCTAAAATATTTCACCCATGACCCCACTTCAAGTCAAGTGTCATTTAGACATTGTCCTTTTTTTTTGAGTCGGAGTCTCACTCTGTCACCCAAACTGGAGTGCAGTGGCCGCTCCGGGCCACCGCAGCCTCAACCTGCTGGGCTCTGGCGATCCTTCCACCTCAGCCCTCCAAGTAGCTGGAACTACAGGCACACACTACCACACCCAGCTAATTTTTGATTTATTGTAGAGATGAGGTCTTGTCAAGTTACCCAGGCGGGTCTTGAACCGGCGGACTCAGGCAATCCACTCACCTCAACCTCCCAAAGTGCTGGGATTACAGGCTGAGCCACCGAGCCAGGCCCTGTCCTCTTTTTAAATGTATTTATTTTGAGTCAGTCTCATTGAGTCACCCAAGCTGCAGTGCAGTGGCACAGTCATGGCTCACTACAGCCTCCAACTCCTATGCTCAAACAATCCTCCCTCCTCAGCCTCCCGAAGTTGTTAGGATTGCAGGCATGGGCAATTATATCTTTTTTTTTTTTTTTTAGTTGGAATCTGTCACTCTGTCACCCAGACTGGAGTGCAGTGGCAGCTCCCGGCCACCACAGTCTCAATCTGCTGGGCTCCAGCGATCCTTCCGCCTCAACTTTCTGAGTAGGCGGAACTACAGGCACACACTACCACGCCCCGCTAATTTTTGATTTATTGTAGAGATGTCTCACCAAGTTGCCCAGGCGAGTCTCGAACCCGCGGGCTCAGACAATCCACAAACCTCAGCCTCCCAAAGTGCTGGAATTACAGGCTGAGCCACCGAGCCCGGCTCCTTTTCTTTTTTTTAAGAGGCAAGGTCTCAGGCTGTTCTCAGATTCCTGGCCTCAAGTAATCCTCCCATCTCAGCCTCCCAAAGTGCTGGGATTACAGGCAAAAACCACCTTGCTTGGCTTTGTCTTCCCTTCAGATTTGTATCTATGCAGAAGTGTTATTCCAACTTCTTTCAGTATGTGAAGAGAGAAGTCCCTGTGATACCAATCTCCAGTAAGTATCGCTGTTAACATGTTTATACATTTGTTTGCTTGCTTATTTTGAGACTGCTCTGTCACCCAGGCTGGAGTGTAATGGCATGATCATAGCTCACTGCAGCCTTGAGCTCCTCGGCTCAAGAGATCCTTCTCAGCCTCCCAAGTAGCTGGGATTACAGATGTGAGCCACTGAGCCTGGCGATGCTCATACATTATGAAGATTTGAGCAGGTAACATGTTCATAGTGCCAAAGGGTTTGCTCTAAACATGAGCACTTTCTTATCTAACACCACATTTCCTCTCCCAAATGTTTTCTGGGGCTTTTATTAACCCTTCCAAAGAGACCACCTCCAAGCATCCTCCGCACCCTCCTTTTCATTGGTCTTTGTCACTTTGTGTTTTTCAGAGAGTACATAGAGAATACGTATGTAGAGATGATTTTCAATTTCACAGAAATTATATAGTTGTACCCTAGTTTATTTAATCCATCCTAGGTTACAGTACCTTTCCAAAGATAAGACACCATATTCCTAACGAGAATAGTCATTTAAAAAGTCATTAGGCGGCCGGGCACGGTGGCTCAGCCTGTAATCCCAGCACTTTGGGAGGCCAAGGTGAGTGGATTGCCTGAGCCCGCGGGTTCCAGACCCGCCTGGGCAACTTGGCGAGACCTCATCTCTACAACAAATCAAAAATTAGCCAGGCGTGGTAGCGCGCGCCTGTAGTTCCAGCTACTTGGAAGGCTGAGGCGGAAGGATCGCCGGAGCCCAGCAGGTCGAGGCTGCGGTGGCCGGGAGCAATGGAGTGAGAATCCAACTCAAATAAATAAATGACATTACGTTAGAAATGCTTTTTCTCAATTGCTTTTCATGAACAAAATAATCCCTCTGATATCTATTTCTGATCCATGTACTAGTTAACTTGAACCCATCTTTCACCCAAAGTATTTGAGACATCTTTTTGTTGATGTATGAAAAACTATTCCAGGCCCGAGTATCCCCTTCTTATAATTTTTTTTCTTTTGTCATGTATTTTTATGATTTCTATAATTCATCTCTTTTAATCATGAAGAACTTTGAACATAAACCCCCTTCTTTACCCATGACTCAGCTTCAACATTATCTACTCATAGACAATCTTGTTTCTCTTCTTTACCTCACTTTGACTTACTTTGCTTTTTAAATTTACTTTGGGACGAGCGCGTTGGGGCGGGCCCACGCGGGCGGGCGCGGCGGCGCTCCCTGGAGGCCGACAGCACAGGGGAGCTCCTCGGGCGCCGTGAGTTCGCGGCCCGTATCCCGCCGCAGGAAGGGCGTGAGTCCGGCAGGGCGGTTTCGGCTGCTGCCGCCGCTGCCACTTCACACAGCGAGCGCCGAGGGACATCCGTGGCGGCCGCTGCGAAAGAGGCCTGTCATCCCAACATTTTGGCAGCTTGGTGAGGTGGCACACACCAGAAATCCCAGTATTACGCTTGCAGAGGTGAGATTGTTGTCTGATTCCCGGGCTTCACGACCAGCCTGGGCAACTAGGCAAGGCCTATGCTTTAAAATAAATAAAACAACTAGCCAGGTATGGTGGTGCATGCCAGTTTTTCCAGCTACCCTGTAGGCTAAAGCTTATAGTTCCTGCTACTGGGAAGATATAGGCTGAAGGATCACCAGAACCATGCTCCCCAGTCTGGGCAACAGAGTGAGACTGCCTAAAAAAAAT